GTTGATGGTCTCATGATTCATATCACACGACATATCAGCTCTCACAATATTCCCAGTGGTGTATTAGAAGCACTCAGAACCAAGGTTTATTAATCTCACCTGAGAAAACAAAGATACTAAATTTGCGCCCACCCAGACGAGGCTAAATGATGGACCTCAGCAGCTTGAATGTGTAATCACTCAAATGCCTTGGTCTGATGAACCCACTTTATGGTCGTGACGCAACCAGACTTCTTCGTCAACATAAGAAGAGGCTTAAAAATTCTCAAGGCTGAGGCATGGTACAATCCTAGAGATGTCTCAAACATCAGACTTATTATGCTGCACCCCCTGCTCTCACTGTATATAGTGTCTGGATGAATTTTAGGAAGGCTTGATAAAACACAAAAATAAGCGATAAGGATCGTGCTCTGCTGTCCCATTACCACTAAGATGCTATATATGATTTAGAAATTTAATAACCCAAGACTCAGAGATCGTGTCAATGAAATTATTGTTTTGTTTTAAAATGTTTAGGCAACCCACCACAACCTTTGCACATTACCCCTCCAGACTTATCGTAGGCCAACATCCTTCCAAATTGATTGCTCTGAACTGATACTGATCTCAGATTCACAACGTTTGCCAAGAGAAAGAGGCAGAACAACTCTTCCCCGCACACTGCGAGATCAGGTCTTTCCATATTGCTATCCTCGCTCCCCACCTAGAATGCTAGGACCAAGACAAGCCTCGTCCTGAAGCAATGTAGTCATGTGTGAATTCGCCTTGGATATAGTCACACCTGGCAGGTTAGTGAGGCTGAGGCACTACCAGAATATTCAGATTGTAAACTCTGTGATGAACCTTTAATGCATTCACTAGAACACTATATTGTTGAATGTGAAACCGTAAAGGACTTTAGACCTCCTGGCCTCTTGTACCACCAACTGTGTAACTATTTTATTGACTCAGGTGTTCTGGACGACATCCTAACAATTTATCCAAAATTTGCTTGTCCATTTTAAAGAATGAAGAACAAATTTATATATATATTACTTCTAAGCTGCATCACTTATGAACCCATCCCTGCCCTTGTGTGGCAGTGCACAATAGAAAGTTGTTTTCACATATCCATACATTAAAACATTGATTGTAACCATGATATATATGTGCTTCAGCCTACAGTTTAGACCTATTGTCTTGTGTATGACCCTCTGTCCTGTGTGACAGTGAATACCAGCATTATCCTCACTTTAATAAGACTTAATTGAAATCCTTAGATTTGGCAAAATTGTAATTAATTTGGTCAATAAAGATGTTAATAATAATAATATTTAATAATAATAATAATATCTGTAATATACCTACTAATCTCTCTCATCTCAATTTTTCTTGCAATGTACCTGTTATCACTTTATAAATTTTGCTAGAATTTTTCACCTACTTAAAATTATATGTTAGATTAAGGACCTGCCCGAAACGCTGCGCGTACTAGTGACTTTACAAGAATGTTAACACCATGCTATGTATTCTCACAAACCCAATGTACCTTCTTGCATATATATAAATAAATAAATAAATAAAATAAGGGTATTGTTTAACATTGTCAACTGCTCGTTTGTGGCACCGAGCAACTTTCGTTTTCTGTTAATAGCGACATTTCAGAAAACTTAAAATATATTTGGGTAGGGAATACTAAAGTAATATAATCTGCTTTGGAAAAAGTTACGTGTCAGTTTGCTTGTAGATTCAAATAATAATAATTATAACAATAATGATAAATATTATCATTAATATAATATTTATTTAACAAAAAAAACATGATACATGAATAGCATGTATATGTACAGTGGCTGCCTGTCCCCCCCCAACGCAATGAATTAATATTTAATAAAGCCTAGAACTAACATGCAAAGGTGTTTCGGAAGGTAAGGCAATTATCAGGAGAAAGCGCTGTTGTTGTTGTTTTAGATTTAGCTACTCTGAACGAAATGTCCATGTAGCACGGGCTATGGCGAGCCCGTAGCTGAGTTCGTTTATTCGTGATAACCTTGTTACTCTGATATTTGGGTCAAAGTTTTAAATGGAGGTGGAGGTTCCTCCTTTTTCCCTGTTTCTTTTTCGCTTCTATTTTAGTTGTGTTTTAATAACATTATCTTGGTGGCGGATGTAGGTGCAGAATGTTCACTAGTGAGTCCCATTCCTCAACGGCTGTTCTAATCATTGTAGTCGCGGTGGAATGTGCATCTAATGCAGCTGCTGTCGTTGTATTAATGTTGAGTTTGATGCGCAGGGCTTCAGTAGCTTCACATTCCAGTAAGTTGTGCAATAGTGGCGCCTCTGCTTCTGTTCCACAGATGTGACACTCTTTAACTATTGGGTTTATTACCTCCCAGCAGCACTTGTAACCAAGTCTGAGTCTGTGTATGGCTACTGCAATGTCTCTGGATATCTTTTTGTCAGGCTTGAAAGAGTAGTAACCAGTGGCTTGTTCGTACCATATCTCAGTGGATCTTCCTTCCGCTACTTTGGCTCTGTGGCGACTTTTGATAGTTGGGAGTATTTTCTTCTTGATTTACTCTTTAATCTGTGAAAAACTTGGAGGTATTTGAACCTGTACCACAGGTAGAGCAGCGGCAGTTTTTGCTAGTGAGTCTGTCTTTTCATTACCATCTATGCCAATGTGACTTGGTATCCAATTTAGGGTGATTGACAGCCCTAGATTGTGGGCTTCTTTTCCTATATGTTGGATTTCTGTGAGGAGTTGTATATTATCTCTGTACTGACTGGATAGCAATGTCTGGAGCGTAGATTTAGAGTCGGTATGAATGATGACATCATGTAAATTATTCTCAATTGTATAATGGAGAGAGCGCCAAAGTATTATGTCTATACAGCACTAGGAAAGGATATTGTATCCATCTCCTTCACCTCTCTCACGCTCATGATTCCCTGTCTCATTGTATGCTGTTCTTCACTCTTCCTCTCAATTTCTTTTCCATTTCTCCCATTTTTTCATTGTCCTCGTCGTTACAAAATCAGTGAAACACACGGGAGTTCAAGTTCAACACGTGAAGCTGAAGTTAATGAAACACGTGGGAGCTGAAGTTTATGAAGCACGTGGGAGCGGAAGTTTATGAAACACGTGGGAGCTGAAGTTAATGAAACACGTGGGAGCTGAAGTTTATGAAACACGTGGGAGCTGAAGTTTATGAAACACGAGGGAGCTGAAGTTAATGACACACGTGGGAGCTGAAGTTTATGAAACACGTGGGAGCTGAAGTTTATGAAACACGTGGGAGCTGAAGTTAATGAAACACGTGGGAGCTGAAGTTTATGAAACACGTGGGAGCTGAAGTTTATGAAACACGTGGGAGCTGAAGTTAATGACACACGTGGGAGCTGAAGTTTATGAAACACGTGGGAGCTGAAGTTTATGAAACACGTGGGAGCTGAAGTTTATGAAACACGTGGGAGCTGAAGTTTATGAAACACGAAGGAGCTGAAGTTTATGAAACACGTGGGAGCTGAAGTTTATGAAACACGTGGGAGCTGAAGTCAACGGAACACGTTATAGATGCTGATATATATTAAAGTGTGGCATTTGGGACAATCCTGACTGGCCTATGACTCTCCCACACAACCTCATGTGTCATGTCGACAAGTGGGGTGAAGCCCCCCCCCCCACCCACCATCTGACCTCATCCCTCGGAAGGACAGGAAGGTGATCACTCTCCTTTATATAGATTAGCAAGGACTTTAAGTGTTTATACAGTGGAATATAAACCTCAATTTATGATTGATATCCAATTAGAATATTAATAATAAATTAATATCCGAAAATTTTAGGAAGATACATGAAAATACTGTAATCGTTATGTTATTACACAGTGGCACGTAAAAAATCTGGAGCTTGTCATTCCGAACCCGATCCGAATTTGGATGGAATCTGGATTCCACGAAAATCCAGATTTTCAGGAAAATCTGGATTTTTGTGAAAATGATAAATGCGTCTTTGGGCTATTCTTACTATATTTTCCAGAATTTCTGATCGTTAAACTTCAATGCGACTGACATTGAAGTCATCAATTCATATGGTTAATGGGTTTCTAAGAAACAGACTATACCTGTTCATTAACAACATCCAGGCCTGTTATAACCAGAGTAGTCTGGGAAGTGAACCAGAACATTTGGCAAGCAGATAAAGTGAATACATCGACTTGGGAAGCAGTTGCTCCTGCATCTGAGAGGGGGGGGGGGACATTTTCATCTGTACTTCCTTCAGAGGTTTTGGGGCTGCCTGGGTATCTTGTTTGTGAACTGGTATCTCTGCCCAATGGGGGGTACTGAGCCCCCTTTACCTGAGCAAAACCCCTGGCACTGCCAGGGGTAAAGTTATGGGTAAAGGAGGCTACCGTTTAGAATAAATTGTAAAGGAGGTGTCTATCTTGAGATGATTTCGTTTAGTGTCCCCGCGGCCCGGTCCTCGACCAGGCCTAAATGACAGCTGACTAACTCCCAGGTACCTATTTACTGCTATAACAGGTTCAGGGTGATTTGCCCATTGTTTCTGTCGTGCGGGAATCGAGGAGAATTACGAGCCTGCGCGCTATCATACGAGGCCCCTAGACTTCGAGGAGCTGACATTCTTCGAACATTCAGGTTAATTTTTGGAATTACTTTCCCAGAATGCCGGACCTTGATCCACCCGACCTGGGCGTGCTACATGGCATGTTTGTAAGTAATCAGGCGGCCCTGGAACACAGCCTCGTGGTAGGTTTACTCCCAGTATACCACGACAAGTATCGCAGTATCACTCCACACCACTCAAAATAAACCTCCAGGTTACAGTGGGAGGTAAAACACATTACCTTACATTAGTGTTTAGCGTTGTCATGGGAAAACACATTCCATACCTCAAGTTTAAACGAAAGTATATCAAGTTTCCCGGATACACCGAGATGGAAAGACCTGATGCTTTTTGTTAAATGCAATAGTCTGTGTTAATTACAATTATAATATACATTCTATTGGCAAAACTTTATTTCTCATATTTGTACACAGATAAGAAACAAACATTTCATGAACTAAAGGAGAAATGAGGAACAAACACACCGTTACAGAGTGGTATAGTGGTGGACACAAGCGTCCCGAGTGCATTCACACATCATATATTGTAAATATATTGTTCAGTAAAACACTGAACAGCTTTAATTTTTAAGCTTCAGTTACCTTTGTGCTGCAACATCTTCACTAAACAAGTTTGTTATCTATTCTCTGAGATTTATACAATTGTTGAAGTAAATTTTATATTTTCTTGTTTTCCGTTAGAATATTTGTTATAAACAGTAGTGTTGTTGAATATTGATATCTTCTTGGTATGAACATATGAACATTCTCATATATTATTATTTTTACAGTTCCACTGTTACGTATTAAATGTCCAGCGTCGCTAAATGCATGACCAGTTCTTTATCCACGTTAAATATAATGTGATGCATATTTCATCAGGTCTTCATACGAATATGGTTTTATTATACAAATCATTTCTTGAGGAAGCTGTCATGGCCAACATAAAATCTAATAGTTGTGTAGCTGTTAATTCTGAAACTGTAAAACATTTTTAAACAAACTAGTTTTTTTGTTATAATTTACGGTTATCACCGAGATGATTACATTGCTGTGTACTGTTTAAATTACACATTTCTGTACATAAACCTCTTAGTGACTGTGTATTAATTGTCACCAACAACGGCTAAATCATTACCAGGGGATTTTCGACAAAAATATATATGAACCAAGGGTATTTCCAGTCATTGTACTGTACATCAACTTTTACAGGGCATTTGAAAAGTTACCAGACATGGCCTTGTACTAGCAAATGCAATCAGTCGTAAAATACTCGAATGGTTAAAACAAAATAATACAAAAGAATCAGGCTGGAAACGTTTAAGAGTTGAGTACTACAAGAATCCATTTTTGGGCATTTTTGTAATATACACCAATAACATGGATGACAACAACACAAACCACAAAAATAAACAAATACAAAGGCTTATGGGATAATGGGAAGTGCAAATTATATTGCAGCCTCGTAAATCGATCCAAGCAAACTTTACAAATGGTCAGAAGATTGTAAAGTGCTTACAATTGACAAATGTTAGACCTTAAATGTAGGGCATAACAATCGACACCAAAGGTGCTATGTTAACAACATGACCCATGATCCTTGAGCAGATTTAAAAAGAAAAGGGTTTTACAATAATGGGCTTTGGGCTGTGCACTTGCCCGTCACTAGGCTGTGTTTGGGTCTTTTGGAGTTCTTGCTGGAGTTTTCTTGGGTCCCTGTGCCTGCATTTTAACTTACCTGTTGGTTTCCTGGAGACTCTCCAAGTCTTTTGAACTCAGCTGGCCATTTCTTGGAGCCATCTTCTTTGTTCTACATTTTTTTGGTGGCTGGAATCTTGACATGTTGAGGGCGGCTCAACCGAAGGACGAGCCGCCCTCTACTTTTGCTCTGCCGGCGGTGTCCCCCTGTTTTGGCTTATGCTGCGATGCTGGTGCTTCTCCCATGGGGAAGCCTTCGTTAAATTTGTTAATTCTGTTTTCGAAATGGAGTCTAATATCGCACCATTGTGGGGCAGCTTCAGCGAGCTATCAAGATCTTCTCTCTCAGAAATAAAGCACTGAATGAAATGAAACATTTTCTCTGGCGGAGACCTCAGTAGCTTCCCATTCTGGTTAGTTCTTTCCTTACTCTCGAGAGATATCGCCTCGTTATCTATCAGTACTTGCTTTTCATCTTGCATTAGTTTTGTTGAAACTTCTTTCTGATGGGGTATCTCTGTTTTGCAGGTGATACCCTGGCCTCATTGGGGAAAACCAGAGTCTGGTCGTAGCTACCAGTGGGATAAAGTTTGTCTCAAGAGACCTTGTGAAATTTGTGAAAATCTTGAAAATCTTTTTACTGAGGGTTTCATTAAAAAAAAATAATAAATATATCCCACTTGTTATTTTCAAATAATTAGCAAACTATTTTATTATTTTGTTATTGATATTTATTCACTGTACAAAAAATTACACACTTTGTGTGAAGTTGGGAACATTTTGTCAAATCTGTTAGTTGAGGTCACCAAAATATCTTGTGGTTTTGCTGTTGTACCTGACGTCTCCAGCACTTTACAACGGAAGAACAAACTTCGTGTCTACCTGGCATTGTCAAGGAATGAACTCTATTCAAGTGATAGTACAGATTATGTTTAACATAACTATATTAATATAACTATATAGATTGTCATCCACACTTCCGTGGAAATGAACATTCCATTCACCCGGGTTCTAGGAGACTCGAACCCCACGCGTGTGAGGCCGAAGCTCTATCCTCTCAGCTTTGAGGAGATTTAATATGGAAAAGTTTCCAGATGCATCATCCTTCTGCCAAAAACTGTAATCATCGACTTTCCCCGACTACTGCTACTGAAGCTGGGAGGAATTACTGATCCACGCTCACGTCATATAAACTGACGTTTGACAGTTTGAAAATGACAGTTTGGTAGCAGGATGTTGCTTCTGGAATCTTTCCTTGTTTAGACTACTCAATAGCTCGGTCGATATAGCTTCTGCCTCACACGTGTGGGGTCCGTGGTTCGAGTCTCCTAGAGTCCAGGTGAATGGAATAACGATATAATTTTAATATAACAATATAGATTTAATATAACTAATTGTTGTGCTTACAACAATTTAAAGTCTTGTAATTGGGTAATTATACACCATTTACCAGCCACATATCCAAGTATTAAGTTCACGTCAATACTTTTGTATGAAAGTAAGTTTCATATTTGTTGTCAACCTACTAGTAAATGTTTGTATGATCCCCAGTCTTGATGACGTGCGTGAAAACCTTTGTTAATATCTCATTTCAACATTACGAGAGCAGACCCCATATTGTATCCATGAGGTATTTCACTTCAAATGTCATTCCGTCTGAAAAAAGTGTTTCTTGTCCTCCACACAGTCTTCCGTATTTGCTGAGAATTCTGTACAACATAACTTCATGTGCTGACATTTTAAGGGTCCTGTTGAGAGTCATTTCACAACCAGAAGGTTCTGGGATAGATGCCTGCAGCAAAATCGAGACCTTTGGGTACGTGTCCTTTCACCTGATGCCTTTCGTCACCTAACGGTAAATAGGTAAATGGGAGTTGAGCAACTTGCATCCTTGTAGTATTCACAGGCCTATAGGAACTTCGATACGTCTAACAAACCTCCTGTCATTGGACCAAGGAGGACCTCTATAAACCTAACATGCTTTCTGTCCTCGACACGAGGGAGAGAGAGAATTATTTTTCGTGTCATATATATACATCCCTCCACAGTAAAGTGATTGGTCAGGGTTTGATGTATTGCGCGCTAAGTGGTAACACTGTACAGTATTTGCGTGTGGTGGTCTGGTCTGAAGAGCAGCAGCAACACCCTAGCATGGTATAAGGCATCTATATACAATGAGCAGTGATTCATCTCGTATAAAAAACTAAATATAAAGTATGAAATAATACTTCGTATTTAATACTAGTTCTCTATCCTGTGTAGTGTTATGAGGCAGGTCGCTCCCTCTCTTGCTCTTCATGCATGTATTGCTGAAAGAAAGAGATAATCCTGTCAGACATCTTCCACAAATGTTGAATGTTAGCAGTATGTATCAGCAGTAAGAGTGTTCATAACTCCACAGGACTTCTCTCAATAACGTCTAGGTTGTCCTCCAAGTTCATACAAGATAATTGCAACATTACGATCTAACCTGCGCTCTCCACTAATCGTCCCAAATGTGATCTACACAACTATATTACACCCGTGTATGTGTTGATAGTGAGGTACTAACACTACAGTCACGCTGCACCAGTGTAGCCCTCCAGCCACACTGCACTGGTGTAATGCTGTAATCTACAATGAAGATGACGAACACCTTAGTTGTTCTACTAACCAAGTTGAGGGCACAGCAGAGGAGGAGCGTCCTGGTGGGAACGTCGAGGACAGAGGGGAAGGTGATGAGGAGGCCGTCGCTGGCCACAGCGATGCTCCCCGTGTCGTGGGGAAACCCGGACGGTATAACCTGAGGGGAATAATTAAGCTCTGTATTGTACCTGTACAGCTTTATATTATAACTGTACAACAGTGTAGAATTTATAAAGAACATGTAAATGACTAAGGGAATATGGTGATTTATGGGACAATAATACTAGAGCTCAGTGGTCGTCGGTTACAGCAAGAATGAAACTGTTACGGAGAAGGATACAAATAGAAGCGGAACTGGAGAGAGAGAGTGATAAAGATGAGGAGAGCGAATGAAATAAAGGAGTAATAGCCAAGATGCTAAGCATGACAGCCTCTGATATGTCTACTCAAAGAATAAACCACATTCCATAAATATGTTTTTAATATAGAGTTCAGGGATCATTACAGTGTGGTGATGATACATCTTGAGGTTATCTCGAGATGATTTCGGGGCTTAGTGTCCCCGCGGCCAGGTCCTCGACCAGGCCTCCACCCCCAGGAAGCAGCCCGTGACAGCTGACTAACTCCCAGGTACCTATTTACTGCTAGGTAACAGGGGCATCAGGGTAAAGAAACTCTGCCCATTGTTTCTCGCCGGCGCTTGGAATCGAACCCGGGACCACAGGATCACGCGTCCAGTGTTCTGTCCATTCAGCCGCCGGCTCCTTACTTGTGTCCAGTTAGAATTTGCAGAGTTCAGAGAGACTAAGAATGGTAAGCGTTCTGGGAAAATCTTATGAGTGAGACAATGAGAGGCAGGGCAGGTAAAGTGATGACATGTGCCGCTACTCTCTATTTACTCTCTAATTACTGTCCAATTACTGTCTAACTGTAGTACACAACTTAATTTTTGGTTACGTTTGCATGCTGTACTAGTAAGGGATTGTAGACCTAATTACTTTATTATATTTTGCTACTTTATATTAGTGTTTATTTGCTGGTATTATGTAATAACAAAATTACTATTCTCATGGAAATCACACTCATGTGATTCATCAATAAGAATATCAAATCGAGCAATGAGGGGGGTTCGAACTGGCGACCAGCCAACTACCAGCCGCACACCTTACCCCTGGACCACGTCATGGCATAACTTATGCAACTTGGGATTACGCTGAATCCACAGGAAGTCTGGAGACCCCTAGTTGAAGGTAGTGCATATTATAGTCCAGGGGTAAGATGAGCGGCTGGGAGTACCCCACGTCGTGGGTTCGAATCTCTGCTTTGCTATAATTGATTTTAACAATACTATTATTATCATAATTATAAAACTACATGAATAGCAGCAGTTATGATAGCGTAAAATTACTCTGCCAGTAAAGTATTAGTATAAGTATAATATTGATTTTTTTTTTTTTTAGAGTTTGACAAGACATCCCCTTTGTGTAATGTTTCAAAGTTTGTGCTTCAATGTCAGCGTTAAGGAGACTGAGCATGGATTAAGATGGATTACTTCAGGTAACCTGGTAATCCCCGGCTCTGCCGCCAGCCACGGCTGGTAGAGGGCAGGGTCCCCACACCCGTCACTCTTCTCGTTTACTGACTCTTGTGGTTATATTTCTGAATCATATAATATGAATTATCATAGCACATCCTAATAATTCTAGACTCAATTACCGGTTAAATTTATGTTGGGGGGGGGTAGAGAGAGAGAGAGAGAGAGAGAGAGAGAGAGAGAGAGAGAGAGAGAGAGAGAGAGAGAGAGAGAGAGAGAGAGAGAGAGAGAGAGAGAGAGAGAGAGAAGTGGAAAGGGTTACAGAGGCACATAATGGGCTCAGGGACTGAACCCCACAATTCATTTAGCTAAGCAAGTTACAATCTTGATGAGCTAGTTACAAAATTCAATATAAGTTGTCACATCAACAATGGGTTCGAGATCGACCTCAAGTACAGGTTCTAAATTAAGCAACTGACATATGTGGAGAGCTAGTGTCAAAATTTATATGTTTGTCCTGCACACCGCCCACCCCCATCCAGTGGGCAGCAGTGGATAGGTTACAATCACTCAGTTACTACCTACAGTTAACAAACTGGGGATATTTGGCTAAAATTTCTGGTAGCAGATCATTTTGAATGAAATATTGACACATCGCTGGAACATTGGTTATAGAATTGTCTCTAAATTCACGTATCTTTTCGCACTCCATTACATAGTGACGGAGGGTGTGCGAATAATTTTGTTGACACAGTTTACATTTGGTCAGATCTACATCGGCAGATAATGAGAATTCCCAGAGATACTTGTAACCGAGTCTAAGCCGAGCAGTAGTCACATCTAGAAGTCTGCTGATTTTATTGGATGATCCATAGATGTGTGGCTCCTCTTGCATGATAGTATGATGATAGATGGAATTACTGGTGTCAATTTAACTTTGCCTCAGATCTACAAGATCTTGTTGAAGTTCTCGGTGTACTGCTGCTCTCAGATTGCTCATTGACAATCCAAGGTTACACAGATGTTACACTGTATTTTTAGTTTTCTTTGTAGCGCTTCTGAGTTCTTTCAGATTGAAAGGTTGGTCTAGTTCATCAGGTGAGGCTAAAGCATCATCTATTTTTTTCCATCTTGCTGCTTGAAGTCTTTGTTGGTGAGTCAGAGTTGCTTGAGGAAGTTGAGTGGAACTGGCTATTGAAGCAAATAGATTTGCTAACCTTTCTGCTTCTTGCTCTGGATGAACATGATGTGGCGGAGTAGGAGGCGATTTTCCTTTGGTCTTGTTGATCTGCCTCCAGATGTCGCCCAAGGATGTATACTGATTTAGCTTGGCACACCACACGAGTCATTTTCCTTTACTGATTTTTGCTATTTCTTCCTGCACATGATCTCGGACAGCTCTAAGAAGTCCTAGATTAGCTTCGGTTCTGTCTCTTCTCAAAACTCTTTCGTGCACAATTTAGTCTAGTATGTAGCTCTTTGATCCTATCACAGTAATACCAATGGTCCTTATGTTGTTGGGTAATTGTTTTCCTCTTGGGGATGGCGTGATTTGCTGCTCTATGTATTGCATTTACTAAATCTTTTTCCATTTCTTGGTGTTGTCAGGAGGAGTGTAGTTTTGGTGCCAAGTTTCGAGAGATTCCTGAAACTTCGTCCAATCTGCTTTGATAAAGTCCCATCCGGGCTCGGGAGCTGGAGGTCTGGGAGGTAGTGCTATATTAATAACTGTTTTTGTCCAAAGTGGTCACTGGTCAGAACATGGTCAACTGACCAATGACACAACTCATAAATACTGGTGGAAACAAATGTGAAATCCAACTTTCCCCCACCAGTGTGGGTTGGTTCCGTCAAATTAAGCAGACTGATTTCAGGCACTTCATCCAAAAGGTGTTCAATATGTCTTCCATTGGCTTCGGTTCTTGGTGAATCAAGTAGTAATTCACTATGAGCGTTGAAGTCGCCAGAGATGATAGGTGTAGTGACTGCTATTTCAAAGATTGCTGAGAAGTCCATGTCGTGTTCTCTATGGCTCTTGTAAACTTTGAAGGTAGACAGCATTGAGTTCCTCATAGTGAGATTAACTCCCATAATTTCGACGTTCTTACCACACTTAGGCAAGTCTGTGATTACCGTGGCATTGATATGATTTCTTACCAGAATTGAAATGCCTCTGGTGCCACCTTGTGCAATAGGACAGTGGAAACCTTGATATCCTGGGATATTGATATTTCTTTCAGTCCTGGTGAGTGTTTCTTGAAGTAGAACAATATCAATGTTGTCCTTGAGAAGCACTGCTCTGAGTGTTTGTGCTTTGTTTTTTAATCCTTGAATATTCCATTGTATAATTTTGAGATTGTCCATTATTCCGTTATAAAAGAATCACTGAGTCCATGGTAGTTTTTAAAGTGCTGATTTTCCCGACGGCTTGTGTCTTCTTGGCTGGAGTGGAGACTTTTTTCTTGGTGGGTGAGGAGACTCTTGGCTGGGTTGAAGCATCTTTGCTACATCCAGCTACTGGGGTATTTGATGATGTAGGGATCATCATTTCTGCTTGGGACGTCTTGGAGGCAATAGCAGGTATATTCGTTTTGCTGCCCTGATCTATTCTGTTGCTGTTGCCTTGTGGAGTAGTGCTTCTTTGTTTCCTCCAGTTACTGGAGGCCCTGTTCTTGCTTAGACTAGAAGGAATTGATGCATTAGACTGTTGCTGGTCTTCATTTATTCGAACTTGCCGAGGAGTGTACCACTGGCTTTTTACCGAGGGTCTGGTCGATAGTGGTCTAGAAGTTGTGACTTTGGGTTGCTGGGTTGATCCGAAAGCCAGTATTCTTTTTACCCTTTCCGGACATCGTTTTTTCCAGGCGTGATATGTATCCTCGCAGTTTGGACATTTTGCTTTCGTTTGCCTTCTTTATACAGATTCTTGCATATGTCGGTGTTGTGGAGCTCGCTGCATACTCCACATCATTCCGGGGCCTCTGCAGCCATCTTTATGGTGGCCGAAGCGCTGACATCTGTAATAACGCATGGGTTCTGGATTATACAGCCTTAGACTGAATTGACCATAGATCCTAACACTCAAGAGTGTTGATGTGAGGTCCTGTTATTGTTAGGAGGACCTGTCTTGTTTCTACATTGTAGTGCTTACATCTTTCCTCCGTTGTGACATTTGGGCATTCTAAGAGTCTGTTTGCATGAACTTCCATCAGGAAATGTTGTACTATCATTTTGGTGATTTTTTCTTCTGGTTTCAGGTCAACTAGGTCTTCTGTATTCCTGAGGTTTGTAATTATATCCGGATTAGCTGTGGATATGTTATATCTGCCTCTAAGGTCAGGTTTGGCTCTAAGCTCTGATCCTGTATGATCCTTTCTCAGTGCGGCAATGTAAGCATAAGTGGAACCATCTAGTGTTTCTTTGGTTTTGAAGATGGTCCTTGGCATTTGTTTGGGGGCTGCTCTTGAGTTCTGGTTGGCTTCTAAATTGGTTTCTTTGGGCGTTTCTTCGGTACTTCGTTTGTTTGCTTTTCCATTTCCTACAATTTGCCACGGTGGTTCGTTGAGGGTTGGGTCATTTTCAGCAATTTTCCTTGCTCTTGCTACGAGATCACTGTGTCCTTC